ATCAGTTTAACTATCGTGTGAAATGCAGTAGCTACTTCAGATAAGATTTCCCTATCTTTGATTTTCCCCAAACAATTAGGTTTCGTTATCAATCATCAGGGAAAGCAAATTATGTTCGAACTAAATTGCAACTGCTACTCATAACCATCAAACAGAGTATAGAAAGGTAGTTAGATTTCTTCCTCACTTTCATTGACTTTGAGAAGGCTTTGGATAACTTTGTCGGCGAAGTAATTCGGAAACTACTTCAAGACTGTGGAGGGCCTCAGATCATTATCAGCCCCATTCAACAACTGGACATATCACAATGCCAAATGTCGAGTGATACACAACAAAATACTCAGCGAAACTTTCGAAGTGAATACAGGAGTAAGATAAAGCTTCCTATTATCATCGATGGTATTCATAATTGTGGTGGACTGGATTCTGCAGAAAATCTCACGATCAGAGAGAGAAGACAGTAATATGTTGCACCAATAAAGTAACTCCAGAAAATCTGGATTTCACGGATGATTTATGTCTGATTTCACATGAATTCGAAGACTTATAGGCGCAAACCGCAAAACTGGGAGAAGAGGCTGACAGCAAAGACGGGACTCCAGGTAAACATAAAGAAGATGGAGGTGACGAAGATAACCAACCAAAAGCAAAGAGAAGCACCAGTCACTATCAACGGGAGAAATTTGAAAGAGCTCAATTCCTTTACTTGTCTGGAGGGTATTGTTTCAACTATAGGCGACACCACGGATGAAGCTGTCAAAATCAGAATCGGAAAGGCAAAACAGACATTGATTACTGTGAAATCAGTTTGGGAATCTAATACACTCTGCATAACCAGTAAAATTTTGATTTTCAACACCCGTGTTAAGTCACTACAGACTTTTATCAACAGCTGCCTTCTCTGACTGCATACTGAATTTTAAATGTCCAGAAAGACACAGCAACAAGAAACTCTGAGAACGAACCAGTCAGGAACCTATCACTCAACAAATACTCCAAAGAAAATGAAGTTGGATCGGATACACTGTGTGGAGACCGTTGGGTAAAATCGTGTGTTAGGACCTTGAATGGAATTCGAGTGGGAAGGGATGAGTTGGACATCCGAGGGTGAAATGGAGGTGACCGTGGGGGGCAGATATGAGAGCCTATAGGCGATCATGGAGCCAGCTTAAGACAACTGCAGAAAAGAGGATGAAGTGGAGATGTGTTGTTGAAGCCCTGTGTTCCACTCGGAACCCAAGGGAATAATAATAATCAACCATCGTAAAGCAAACTCAGTAAACGGTGCCTACCAGAAACTATCCAGATTTACAGTGGACTCAAAACTTGTGTACAGTTGGCTAAGTTATAATGTTCTGGTCAATGAGAATTCGTGACCAGTGGGATCCACAATGTCAGCGTGAAACAGGTCCTCATTGACGTCACTGGTCGCCAGCAGAGTTATATAGCCAGTGGACACAAATTAGAATTCATCAGCCGTTGGATCCCAACCCAGAGTCTGAATGGTCAGCGGAGTGGTCTTGTAACCCTAAAGTCTTGAGTCCGATCCCAACCTAGGATGAAACAGCTGTCCAGCACTGCATAGTTTTCAAAGGTTCTCTAAAGGATGTGAGTTTGTAATCTTATTAGGAAACTACATGTGATTTTGGGAAAAATTCACTAACGTATAATGAAATGGCAACAAATTATCATCTAAAACGACTGACATCAACGCATATATATATATATATATCGGTATCTGTTTGTAAATTTAAGGTTTATTATTATTGGCGTTACCGATAAATAAACAATCTCTTATCCTTACAATGACTAAATTTTATTTTATTATCGATACTGCTGATTAAACAATTCATACATTCCTTAATTTCATCCGATTTCAACATTTCTTATCATGATGACCTTAATTTTAATGTCATACAAACGGAACGTTATTTTTACAATACATACCATGACTGACCAAACTTATATTGTGCCATATGCTGAAAATTTCACGTTGTATCATTAATACTCTTTTGGAATAAAGAAAATTATTATTATTATCGAGAATTATAATGACCAAGTACTATGTGAACTTGACTGGCAGAATTCATTCTACGCCAGTAAATATGACAGCACCTACTTTTCTAATACCGTCAAACACTGTTCAGCTTTACCTTTGCTACCGACATGCCAATGTGTTGTTGTAATAATGAATTGAGATTTCCTTAATCTATGTAGAATTCTATTTATTGATAATGTACTAACTGGATGCAATACTGTAGTAAAAATGCTGAGAATTCCATTCTGTATCACAAGTACTGTTTTGGAATAAAGCAAATTATTATTATTATTATCAAGCAAAAAAGACTAGATGCATGACACTAGTCACTTACTGCCTAGTGTTCAATCAAAAAGTTACCAATACACTCCTGCATGAGGCCATTGACGAACCTGAATAGCTCAGTGGTAACGTCTCTGACTGTAGCATTGGGTAACATGGATTCGAATCTCAGAGGGGACATGGGTTTCCTCAAGATTAAAAACGCCCCTTTCTGACGATTACCTCAAACAAGTACGAAACGTAGGTGGTTCAAGGCTTCCAACCGATTACCTCCAAGCATCACAAATCACAACTACCTTGAGATTCTTCAGATAAACTCCTCTTGTGTATTATTACAGAAGTGGAGTAAAGCGAACTAGAAGATGGAAAATGACTCCTTAAGTAAAGCCATGTCATGAAATCCCTTTCTCTCTGTATCGGTGACTTTTACCATTCATTACCCAAACTTCTTTCTGTTATTATTATAAATTCGTTTTACTGATTCAGTTTTTAATTCAAAGAATATGGATTGTTTTTTCTGACTGTAACATTCTGCTTTCAAAACTCCCCTTTGGTGTGTTTTGAATATGAGTATGAAGCTGGAAACTCCCTTTAAGCCATCTATCTGACTTCATAACTTAACAATTTTATATTCCAGGTTTGGTCACTAGTTGACATCAATTAGAGAACCATGGGAAAATCTGGGAGCACTGGACAGCGAGAAATCAGTCAGATCTCTGAAAACGAACACTCGATAATTAATCTGATGTTCACTAGTGAGTGGCTCTGTACAGGAATTTACCTGGAATTCTAGTGAGAATTCGTAACCAGCGGGATCCACCAAGTCCGGTTAGAGATCAGTTACTCGCCTATGATTGAGCTCTATACATCGCATATTAGCAGAAGTTGGTATTCATGGGCCATTGAGTCAGGTCCCAGTGGCTGAATGGTCTGCGAGTCCGCCTTGAGTGTGGAAGCCCCTGGGTTCAAACCTCAGTGGTTTCACACCGATGAAGCGTTTCACAATAGGATGAAACAGCTAGCTAGTACTCTCAGGCTCTCCAGTGTTTCCATAACTGATGTCAACCTGTAACCGATCAAATCCTTACAAACCAACACTTGGTAATTTTGTATTTACCAGTTTAGATTCTCCTGTATAGGTACTACATTGTTGAGGAGATTAGGCTTGTGCATCATGAAATTTTTGAAAACTATCCACCTTTAATGTGGGAAGGACCGAATAAAGCCATGCGTAGTTCCATACTGCGTCACTTCGACGATAAAGGACATCAAGTTGATACCAACAGAGCTTTGAAAGTTTTTTTTCGTATTGCATTTAATCGAACCTTTCTTATACTTTACGAGTCCGACTTTAACATACAAAGAGGTGATAGGAATTCATCTGAACAGGCCAAATCTGTGCATTCCAAAGAAATTCGTACAACCTCTTTCCTCGTCGTGGCAATCTAAACAATATATACAGAGTCTTATAAATAATTTTCTCCTATCCTTGTAGCTGTCAACTAACATTCATTCACCTATTCTTCTTAGTTATAATTACCTTCCAAATTAACTGATTTTGATTCCACTAATCATTTTTTACCCCTCCTATACCTCAAAATTGATCATTCTGATTGACTAACTGATCAATGTCCAGCCTGAAAATAAACTAATCAGAATAGACCTACGTAAAATAACGCCCACCAATTTATTGATCATGACTTTAGACTAATCAACATAACTTTAGTGACTTTTGGAGTCATATGTTATTGTGTAAATATATTCTAGTGTTGCTTTGTGGGGATTTGATTGGGGTTACAGGATTTCATCATGAGCTGACATTGGTTAGAGGACCATTAAAAAACCTGCACGGAGTACTGGACAGCCAGCACGCACCCAGCCATACTGATGAAGAGTCCCAAACTGGGACGAAACAGCTGTCCAGTACTTCCTGTAGGTTTTTCAATGGTTCTCTAACCAATGTCAGCTCTTGATAAATATATTCTTTCCAAGCATCTTGGTATGTTCACAGTTATGTAGTAGAGGGGATTTATCTAGCAGACGTAGAATATTGGTAGGCGACATCCATCATCAATCTGACCATATCAACACCAATCACTATCAAGGGAATAAATTTGGAAGAGTCGAATAACAATTCCAGTAAATAACAGCGAAGTTTATTCACTTTGATGATACTGCACATCCTGCACATCAGTTCAAGTTGCCACACTCCACATAAAAGCATACAAAACTGTAATCAACAGTGACTTATAAAAGAGAGAGTAATTAAATGCAGAAAGAGAAGAATCTAATAGCTCTGACAGTTAATAAAGTGAATGTATTTGCGTCAATAAGAACGATTTTGAGCAATGTCACTAAAAGTCTTCAGCTGCCATTAGTTTTTAGTCTCTCATAGACTCTAATCAGGCAGTCGACACCTACCTACATGACTAGTTCAAGTCAACTGTCAAAGACTTCACGGACTGATGCGAAATTTTGATTTGAACACTGTCGCCTGAACTCTTTTTCAACCTAATCGTATATCAGCTAACACACCTCGTGGAGAGAGAGGCGATGACTTGGTATGCGCAACACTTGTCATAGACATTTCAATCAATACGCTTATGGTCTAATCAAAGCGCACAAAACTCGATTTCATAAAATCAAGAAGAAAAACACCCTGACAATCGATAAGTTTTATGTCGTCATCACACAAAAAGAGAAGAAAATAGGTGAAATACAGAAAATTCAAAAAGGAAACAATTAGAATAAACCTCGTCGATGTAAATAAAACAAATAGACGAAATTTTTAAAAAAATAAATAAACAAATAACCATTGTACATATTGAATTAACTTCAAAAAACAATATTTTCGTTTTGTTTGTTAACACAATGCATTCATAGAAAAGAAAAACAACAAGTAATTCATTGTTCATGTCATACCATAAAGATGAGATCTTCCGACAGGATCCGAATCAACCACCATCGAAGTATTGACTAGTCTCACGGTCTACCAGTCAGCAGACAGCGGCTAACCAGATCACTGTAATCATCACAGCTATATCACCTAGTTAGTTAGTTAGTTATTTAGTCAGTCAGTCAGTCAGTCTAGCTATCAATTAATAAATATTCTACAAACACCTTTGAGGGGAAAATAAGATAGATATAAGCTAACAAAAATAATGTCGAATGAAATAAAACAAACAGATTTCGAATTGTCATCATTGTCCTCAGTGAAATTTAAGGATGTATACATGCATTCGAAAGAAACAATAACACATTTTGTCAGAAAGTAAAACAAAGAAACAAACAAATTCAAAAATCATCGTCATCAACATCATCATCGGTAACATTGGAAAAAGAATTAAAATATAAAAAAGAAGACAACACATTGAAAAAGCACTCACTCACATTGAACATTCAACAAAAAAACACAAATGATAACGTAACAAAATACTTGTTTAAGTATAAACACTGAGGGCCGGAGGCGGGTGTTTTAATTTTAAGGCATTTTAAGGAGGAGACAACAAAATAAAGTAGGGAATGCACCACAACTAGTATACATACATTAGTATATATTCCAAATAATTATAAATGCCAAAATAAAGTGGCAAAGTGAAAACGTGACGATGAGAGGAGTAAGTGACTTTTTCAACAAAGTTAAAGTCCACCAGCTCGTTGACCACTTTTATCGCCTAGTACATTTCTAATATACGCATTGTTGAATTGTTCTAAGAAAATGAATGTCAACACAGTATGTGGTCCAATACGCAGGAAATATGGTGTAAAACCTTTCCATAAGGATAGAAAACCTTCATTGCGTATTACACGTAAAATAACATCCTAGACAAGGGGAAAATAATAAAGAAAAGCAGTATAAAAATAAATGTAAATTATTGGTATTACATGGTTGGAGGCAATCGGCAGGAAGCCTAGGACCTAGGTTTCGTGCTAGTTGGCACTCACCAGTCAGCAAGGCGTATCTGCAACCTTGAAGGAACTGATGTCCCTTCTGAGATTCGAACCCGCGTCACCCAGTGCTGCAGTCAGAGACGTTACCACTGAGCTATTCAGGCTCGCGACTGACCTCCTGTAGGACTGTATTGGATATTTTTGATTGCACACTAGTCAGTTCCTTCAAGGTTGCAGATACGCCTTGCTGATGAGTGCCAACTAGCACGAAACCTAGGTCCAAGGCTTCCTGCCGATTGCCTTCAACCATCTTATATCAACAATTCACAGTGCACCGTAATGGCGGGCCACCTAGCATGGTGGCCACATTGCAAACATGACTGATAGAATTCAGTCTGCACCGAAGATAGGACTAGACACATTACACTAGTTACTGACTAGTGTGCAATCAAAAATGTAAATTATATTAGACGTTTATGGTGAAAACATTGAAAGGAAAGTATTTCTCTCCCCCGCCCTCCCCACGACTCGAATGCTCAACTGGAACAACTGTAGCCCGACAGTCACTAAGATTTCATTTATTCATAGCAATATCAGATGACACAGACAACCACCTTCTCTATAAACTCATCTACCATTTCACCTGATCGTGTAGAGTTAGGTATGTCGGCCGTACTCAGCGCTTGCTATCAAAACGTATCATCGAACACATACCCTCATGGATTTATAAAACAGAAAAAACGTCCCCCCGAAGCTCTATTAAGGGAACACCTGATCGAATCGGAAAACCAAGCGAACCCGCAAAGTAACTTTAAAGTCATCTACAGAATATGTGGGAATCTTGCTAAAAGAGTACGAATCAAACTTCTTCAGAAGCAATGGCAATTCACATATTAAATCCTGAACTCTGCATACAAAAGAAGTTTGTTCAGTCATTAAATCTACAGTGGACCTGATCTATCATAACAACGAATACATAATTCTTTTTTGTCTCTTAATTGTATAATATTTTATTCCCCAACCTATCACTAAATCTCTACTCCTTATTACCACTGTTTTAAACTTGACTTTTGTTCTATTTTAATTCTAGCCGAGCTCTACTCAACCCTGTCAATTAGTTACATCACTCAGCTTGCTTACTTAACCTTACTTCAGCTTCTAACCAATTAACGAAATTTGTTATCTAAAATTTACAATTCTAATGACAAATTTTTGAAATGTTCATTTTTTTGCTAAGAAAATTAGCCATATATACATGCGATTGTACAGCTCAATAATGATATCGCCGAAAACAGTAACTCTTCGCTCAAAGCATTTTCTTTTATAAAACTCATTTTCACTGCTTTGCCATTATTATTTTTATCGTTCAATGATCTTGTCTATAGATATGGATAAGAATTCCTAAAATTAATATACTGAGTACAAAACTTGGAAACTTTGGTAGTATGGAATGCTACATGAATTCTCGTTTTAACTGAATCCATTATATACAGCGAAATTCTATTATTCACTGGGTAACACGTTTCCAATGAAATTTCTTGTTTATTTAATCATACCAACTGTGAAGCTACATAAATTACAAAACGCGGTTTTTTAAATTTCTCTTTCTTTTCCATTTGAGGTAGAATACATTGGTCAAAGAGCAGTAGACTCGGATCACTTAGGCTGACTAAGCATAAAAACGGAGCGAAACCCAAACTTGTAGACCATAATGATATAAGAAGTCTATAGCACAAAAGGCAGCTCCACTCACAAACATATTAATATGATGGGAAAAAGTCACAAGGTGGAGATACAGACTGATTTCATCCCTTTGCGTTTCAAGTGAAATATAGGGCCTCAAGTTTGAGCTTTGAAGTTTCAGTAGTGAGATGCTGTTTTTACAGACGTTCGGTTACTAGCCTCACGTTCAATCTTCCGTACTTTTCAGGCTTACCAGTGGCTAGGTGAGATGTAGGAGTGTATCGGCTGACAATCGAACCCCGACAGCGGGCATGCTTGACGAGCATACTATCCCTACACCACCGACTCATGATAAAGCCGACAGCATGTGATATTCCCAGTCAGTCACCAATGCAAGTACTAAACCGGCCCAACGTTGCCTAACCTTGGGGATTGGGCGAGAACCAGTGTTTTGAACGTGGTATGGTCGCAGATATGAGAGAGAGATCGACACTTGAAACCATTTTATCAGATCAATTGAGAATTCAATCAATCAGAATGACTCTGTACCTAACCCGGATATCTGAAAAATTCTATTACTCCTATGACAAACAGGAAGGAAGAAAGAGAAATATAAACATCAAGTTTCGAAATTCTGTAGTTACAATTTATAGGATTATCATTATTATTTTCTTGGGTTGAGAGTGGAACATAGGACTTCAACAGCACATCTCCATTTCATTCTGTTCTCTGAAGTAGTTTTTAGCTGGCCCTACTACTCCCCGTAAGCTTTCATCTCCTCCTCTTCCTCCTCCTCAGACCATCTCCTGCATGTCACTCTCGGAAACATGCCGAAAACATTGTTGCCCATTTAAGTTTCACTCTGGTGAGATGGCCTAGTGAGTGCAATGTCACTCAACGGTCTCCTTAGCATGTGTCCAATCCATCTCCATTTCCTTCTTCGATGGTTCATTGTCAGAGCCTCTTATTGCTTATCTTTTCTGACTATCATCTGATCTTCAGTATGATATGATTAGAAACAATGCATTGTGTTCAAAACGTCATCCAATAAATATTACTCTATGATTGTATGCTATATCCAATCAAGAAATCAGTAAAGAGTTCCTCCTATAAAAATATTAGCATCCTTAAACATCCTTTTAATTACTATTCAGAGAGCTCATAAGATTTAAATTCTTTGTTAAAACATATACGGTTTTGGAGTTGCTTATCACGTCAGCTGGCGGTGGGCAACAAGGACTCATAACCACTGGGTTATTAAATTGTCAGTCAACCACTGCTTTCTAATCCTATGACACGCAGCCTCCAGCTTCTGCCAATTTGCAATACAGCACTATTCCTATCCTACATTATCACTTACTCATGTGAGTGATTACACAGAGACGTGGGAGTGAATCGCTAAAAAGTGGCAAGCTTCGACTAAAAACACCTACAGTTTTACATAATTTACAAAGACTTATCAAAAAATGTAATCATATGACTCTCATCATATTTTTAACAGGAAGATGAACATCAAAAGGCATCAAGTGCATCCATGAATATTGCCGCAACAGTCGCAGCCTTCCCGCATACCGGAGCTCCCCAACGTTCCGACTGGCTACGAGTGCTCTGGCGTCTCCAACTCGCCCGTGTCATCTACCATCCCAGGATGTAATGTTTTTATCCCTTTCTACCAAATGCTCACGCTTCCTCCATATCGCCCACCACATTCTCCGTTGACAATCATCCTGTCCTCTGACTCAAACGGTTCCATTCTCTCCGATACCACATGCCCTCTTTGCTTCTCTTCAATTGATTTCTGTCAATTGAACTACAATAACATTCACCCCATTGATTAATTGGTTCACTCTACTGCGATTCTGACCGTGGTCCAGACTCATCTGAATGTCTTTACGTGCGGGACCTGCCCCCCCCCTCCGTAGTAGCCCTAGTGTCCAATACATGTTTGACAGTCCAGACCACAAGTAGCACACAATTTGTCCCTTTTGTTTCCTTCGAGTCTTTTATCCAAAAGATTACAGTCTGTTGCCTTTCTGCCGCTTCTTTTCATCTCCATATAAGAGACACTTTAAAACATAAACAGGGCTCAACCTTTTCAGGTCGCCTTCAATGTTTTCCCACCACTCAGTTGTGTGTCTTTTTAAAAAAGGAAACAAGAGTAAAAATGTTATTCCATATACAGGAGAGAAGAAAAAGTTAAACATGTTTACCCCCATATTTTTATATTCCGGTTTTCCATCGATAATTTTCATATTCTGAATTCTTGTCTTTGCAATATCAATAGGCAAAGAGAATACAGATGTGGTAAAACCGCTTAATAGACTAGCCAGTGTATGTACACCTAATCCATCAGTTAAATAACCTAAAACATAAAGCAAAATAAATGAGGAGTGGAGACATACTAAATATGACAGTTTTTATTACTATTATTTATCATTATATCCCTGGGTTCCGAGTGGAACATAGGGCTTCAACAGCACATCTCCATTTTTTCCGGTTCTATGAAATCCTCTTAAGCTGGCCCCACGATCGACTGTCAGCATTCACCTCCTTTTCACAAAATCTCCTCCATTTCACCATTGAACTCACAAACAACTCGTGGTTCCCCAATCGAGGGTGATGTCACCCGACGATGCCCTCAGCGTGCCCGATCCACCTCTAGCTTCTTCAGCATATTTGTTGAGAAATAGGTTCTTGATTGAAGTAATAGACAAATACACGTATATACACAGCCAAATAATGTAAGATAACTGGGAATCATAAGTCCGTGTTTGATGATTTCCGCCTATCAATGGAACTGCCTTAATTTGGTTGGGGGGGTTTTAAACCAAACTTACTATTCTTCATAATTTTTAATATTAACATTATACCAGCATTATTATTATTATTATTCATTACTTGAGTTCCAAGTGTAGTAAGGTGTTTCCGTGGCACATCTCCCCAATCGCACTCAGTTCTCTGTCATCATCACTCTCAAATGGCTCCACGACTGCCTACAAGCTTTCATTTTATTACTCTCATATATTATTTTACTATTATTTCCTTCACGTTCCCAGTGGAACATAGGGCTTCAAGCTAGAAGCTTGAAGTTTCTGTAGCAGTGTTTATTTTTACAGGATGAGGTTGCTAGCCTCATGCCCAACCTTTCCTCTTCACCAGATTTTAGTTCCGGCTTAGCAAGGTAAAGGAGTGCATCAGTCGGGGATTGAACCCCGGACCATGTGCATGGTCGGTGAGCGTCCTAACCGCTATGCCACCGATGCACATTACTCTCATATAATCTTTTGTATGTCACTCTCAGACCCATACCCATTCAGGGGTTCACTCAACGACCTACCTGACGTATACCATCAATCAAAGGTCTCCTCAGTGTATGTCCAATCTATCTCCATTTTTTGCTTCTGTATATTTGCTTGGCAAGAGGTTGTTAGCTGATTTGTTTCTGAGGTCTACTGTTGTTGACTGTTTATTCCTTCTAGCCTACCATCCGGTCTTCAGTATCAAGCGAAGGCAACTGTTGATGAAAGCCTGCAACCAACTGTTGAAAATACTACTTTGATTACGCATGCACCAAGTCTTAGAATCATATAGGAGTGCACTGACTTGACAATGGTATTGAAAATCCAGACTGCATTAAGCATTCCAATGGATATTTATAGTGTTAACTGTTTAAGAAATGTAATATGTTTACATTTTTTTCCCGAAACACTATGTTCATTTAAGTTATTAAACACGTAGTCGATTGTCAGCCAATCTCTGGATGATAAATATTACCACAGAAAATAACCGAAATAAAAACAGTGACTTGGGTATAACATTTTTAAAGATTGATCCAGCCTCTGGGTGTAATTCTGCTGTCTAAAACAACGAATTCACAACAAAATCAAGCTAAAACCGAAGTTTGTGTTTCTAAAACACGAAGTCCTACAACAGTCTTCTGTTGAGGTCATCCAGTCAACCAATGATTATTGGACTATTGTTTATAATATAATAAAAATACGATTTTTTTTTAAAATATCGTCTACAAATACCCATTATAAATTTGAGGACACTGATTAGTGAATAAAGAATATGCTTCATGTTTGATCACGAGGTGATATCAGTTAGAGAACCATTGGAAAACCTGGGAGTACTGGACAGCTGTTTCGTCCTAGTTTGGGACTCTTTAGAAGCAAGCACCCCCTGCGGTTCGAACCCAGGACCTTCTGGTTACAAGGCTGGCGAGTTCGTAGACCATTATCATCAGTTCAGTAACAGTCGTGACCAGTAGGGTGCAGCAGGTCGGGCGTGAGGACAAATACTCGCCTAAGACATTTGCTAGAGGTCGCACTATGTCGTGAATTGGCAGAAGTTTAAGGTCATGGGCCATTGGATCGGGTCCCAGTGGCTTAATGGTATACGAGCTTGCTAGCCTTGTAACCAGAAGGTCCTGGGTTCGAAACCCGGTGGGTGCGTACTTCTGAAGAGTCCCAAACTAGGACGAAACAGTTTTCCACTACTCCCATGTTTTATAATGGTTCTCTAACCAAAATAAATATTAGTTAGACCGTTGAAGGTAAGGGAAAAAGTAATAGAGATAGATAGATAGATATAACACTATCAATATTGATAACCAATTTGAATAGCCCCGTGGATGAGTGACTTACCGGTTTCTAGAATTTTCTGTTTAGCCTGAGAATAAGTGGCTAGCTGTGCACCATTAACTACAGCTGCTCGTCCCATTGTAGGAATTGCACCCTATAAAATTAAATTAAATTAGAAAAATATGAATAAGCGAACTACATACCACTTTTTGTACATAAGACAGTAAACAACTAAATCAACGAAATGTTGAAACACCAACATTACTTACAATATTATAGTGAATGCTGTTGGAATGCACAGAACCCATCGATCTGAATTCAAAAATGATTCAAACGATCAATTATGTTTTCATGAAATTACTTATTGCTAAGCAAGGTGAAATAAGGAATAATAAGCAAAGTTGGTATAAAAGAATGATGTGATTGGTGAAAGAGTAAACGTTAGTGGTAGAATGTTCACCAGTCTCACATGGGAGGCCCAAGTTCGACCCAGGTCAACACACTTCAAGTCTCAGTTAGCTGATTTTAAACCCGGAAAAGAGGGAAGGTTGGACATGAGGCTAGCGACTCCAGCCCCCGAGAACATCACTACCGCTACTGAGACTTAGAGTTTTAAACCCCAACGTTCCATATAGGGGGCAAAGAATGAAAAAGGAAATTCCAAATCAACACGAAATAAATTGGTGATAAGTGACATAACAGTGACTAAGTTTGGTTTTCCCTTTAAGCGTTCAAATCCTATTTTTCCTTAGATGTAATGAAAGCGATTAAGACGAGTAGAATTAGAATTGACTACAAACCTGAACGTAATGACGAATGAAACACACAATCATAAGGTTACATATCCTTCATCTGTTAGGGTTTATGACAATCAATCACTGGGCCACATGGTTCACAGAGTCCCACTTCATAAACAAAAGTCACAACTATTAAACAGTTAAGTGGCAGCATGACCTGAAGCGTTCAAGGACGGTAAGAAGGGAGCATTGACTAGAATAACATATTATCTAAACCCTAGTAATCCATAGCCTAAGTGGAGTTGAGGATAGCAAACCCAAAAGAATAAGTCGTTTCAGGTAAAAATGCAAGTTTACTGATCAAATTTCAACTCTTCAATAAATTCTGGAACACTAATGTTCCTACCGACATCCAACAATTGCCATACTTCTTGATCTAAAGACTGCATTAGACTTCGTTAATCATGAGGTGTTGCGAAAGTGTCTGACTATGGTGAACAGCACTGTATGAAAGTGTATTATATTGTGGTGAGTGGTGTCTGCAAGCCAAAATTGCAAACAACAATTGACGTCAGTGTTTACGTCCCGAATCGGGGTCATGAGAAAAAGCAAGAATAAGGCCTAAACTTGAGGGACTCAACAACCAATCACAGAAGACTTAGCGTGGGGCGGATACGTTTCGCAGATATATCACCGGACTATCTAAGAAACGCCAAAAAAAAAGAGATGACAGAATAACCTTCAGCAGGAAAACAACCAATCAGAAGACATTGCTTCTCTGCTAACAATAACGAATAATAATGTACATAAAAATCTATAAATATCTGTTGATTTTCTCAATAAAGGATCTGTTTCCTGGCCCTTGTCTTTTGTCGTTACTATATCAATCAAATCAAGACATTCTACTGAAATTCATGTAGCCGATTAAAAGACTATAAGATAGCTAGCATTCAAAATGACAACCAATGGTGTCCTTCAGGGATTCTCAATTTCATTACTCTTGTTTAATTTTATTATATAAGCGGGCCTACATGGAAGTGACTTTACTTGACTCTAATGCCACGATATTTGATGTTTTTCTAGGAAAAGTGTTAGCTGAGTTTGAGCGGGCATGCGACGTGATCATGAGAAAAAAAGAAATTGAAATATGAATACAGTTTGTATTCGGTTCATCCCTATCAAATGTATGATGCTGCTACAGAGCAAAGTAATAGAATGTATCGATCAGTAAGCCTATTTTATAAGTCAAATAGACCGTCGTTGACTGATTGTCGATGTATTCTCGACTGGGGAACAGAAAAATTGTTAAGCATTAACCAACCTAGCTATATTTGGTCCCTGCTACCAGCCGAAGTATGTGTGTATTGAGCGGTGTTTTACAATAACACATAGCAGGTAGTGTTAAGGCTGGATATAGTGTGTCTACCGAAGAAGATAAGCAGGGGTTAATAAGGTTGTAAGCTTTTACTGATTGAGGTGACTGGGACTTATTGTGCATATGGATACCCACTGCCTTCCTCGACAAAGAATGCTGGCTGAGGTAGGGAGAGATAGAAAAATAGCTAAATGTAATCCGACAAAATATATGAAATTAATTTGTATGGACCTTGACTACTGATATGTGCTATATAAGTAGATGTAGGTTGCCTACACGAAAACCAATGACACTCACAAGTTATAATCCTCAAAATACTGAACACCATTACATTAGTTCATTGTAGTATCCTTAATTTCTTTTTATTTATGTATACTTTCTCAACATGTTTTAACTTGAACTAGTGGACTGCTAAACAAAGTCTTGCATTGATTAGTCTACTTGTGTGCATATGTGTGCTCAAGTGAACTCACTCAGTACAGAAGTATTATATGGTCTGACCGATTAAAAAGTACGACAAGGCAACTTTGAATGACATTTCAGATAAATCTTTATATTCATGTTACCACTGACAAAAATAGACATGTATGATTCATACAAAACTTTTAGAAAAATGAGGAAAAAGGACTAAAGGAAACATATGAACAATGTAGCGTCAAGAGGAGGACGTTTATACTATAACTAGTCAATCATTATATCAAGAAACAAATATCAACGCAGAGCCTTTCAGAAAAGTGGAGTACGTCAAAGTAGCACAACCAATAAGTTAACATTGAGGAGGGGGATCTATCAGAATTATTACTTTGCCTCAAGTGCTCTCGACCTCAGGGAAATTGCTTATTTGATGAAAAGCATTATCTTGTAATGCGTGTCGATGATTTGAGTAGTAGAGTGCTCTCTAAATACGCGTATCTGGTCCCGGTTCGATTCCAGATCGATGCACTCCTAAACCTACCCTAGTTTACTAGCCGATTGACATTAAGCCCGTAAAAAAGGATGTTTGGCAAGAGGCTAGCAAACCCATGCCGCGAAAAACAACACTGCCACTGAAATTCCACAGCTAAAGCTTCGATAATAATAATAATCCCTTTATTCCGATAACTCTCTTTCCTCGATGGTCCGAGGAATCTATTGACAAAGAACTGCTAAATTTCCGAAGAACCTTAATAGAAAATATGTTCCCATTCAGATTCATGCACAAGAATGTAAATAAAACTTCTAAACACGTCCAAGTCACCCACCAAAAGATGCTCGTGCTTAATCTCGAACTTAAAAGTGATGCCAAAGCAGAAATTCTCCGTAAACAGCTTTCGAAATCTCTCAATAAAACATACTTCGCCATTAGTCTACGAGTGGTGTTTTATTTCTAGAAACTATTCAGCCAGCAATTAAACGACAAGCTGTCGCATCGGGTCACTCCAGCATACACATACCAGTTCACTTGATATTTTAGAGCTGAATACATTGGCTGTAAAATGCATCCGCTTGTAAAACACACTCGGGAACAATATGCAGCCTTACTTACTAGCGAAGGGAGAAGGCAAGTGTGTATATACTTGGGTAACAGGACATCTGGTGAACTCAGGACATTCAGCTCCACTTAAAAAGACCTTTAAAGTCATATACACGATCCGATCAAACCTCTCCAACGGAGTGAAATCAAGGCATCTGGGCATAGCTAAGGCACTAGCGATTCAAAAGTTCAAGCCAACACTATGTATTCGAAAGAAATAAGTCTAACTGTTGTCTCTACCATGGCCATCATAAAAAGGTCACTTCTGTCAATCGCGATTATCTTATTATCTTTCTCATCTAATCTTCATGTTTATTTGTGATTTCGGCACTTTTAACTTCCATCTCCCCTACTACATTTTTTTATCCGAACTACCGGCCTATTTTGTTATTACTTAATTATTAATTGCACAAAAAGTCAATTTTCACAATAATTATGATCCTACTACGTTTTTTATCCAGTCTTCCTGTTTATTATTACATTTTAATACCTATTTGAAATTTTATTAATTTGACCCTTGACAGGAAACAGTTCTGGAACTTTCTCACCCATTCACAATAAATACACAAATGAACAGTCTAACTAATAACTTCGTCAAAAGTAAATTTTTTTTCACTGCAACCGTCTTTTTAATATTTCCTATAATCGAATGTGTATATTTCGTGAAGTCAGTGGTCGGATGGTGACTAGCAGTGGAATCCAGGACGCGTGTTTCGTCCAATTTGGGACTCATCACTGGGCGTACCTGCATTCCTGGATTCCACTGCTAGTCACCATCCACCAACTGACTTCAAGTTATATGACAAGACATCGCCGAGGCATCTGCACTAGGTGCCGACATGTCAACCTGAGACTGAGCACTTCGGTCCAATCAATCGACAGGAAAATCTAAATCGAATTATATGTATATTTGGTGATTTGAATAATAACTTGCAGAATAGAGTTTTCAGAATTGTACATATTGCAACAACTCATCTCCCTTTACAATTAAAATGGATTAATTAAATAGTAAAAATAATGAGAATGCAACAAGTGAAGCTAGTGGGAAAATATATGTAGTGATAGGAGAAAATGGAGAAGTATCACGCATACTTTGAGGAGGCCATCGAATGACATCGCGAACCAGACCATCACTCGAGTGGACTCTAAATGGGAAACGACGAATGGGTCGTCGGTGCGAGGGTTACATGGGGGAGATTGTGAAAGGAGGAGATGAGAGATTATGGGTAGTCGTACACCCAGCTGAAGAGAACAGCACCAAATAGAACAAAGTGGAGATGTGTTGTTGAAGCCCTATGTTCTACTTGGAACCCAAGGGAATAATAATAATGATAATAATAATAATAATAGCAGAAATAGTGCTGGCAATAAGTTACTGCTGATTTACATATTATTAATTAGGTTCATAAGCTCTTTTATAACATTTGTCTCTTCACATAACACCCTTACTAAATATGGTATGATTGAATTTTTATATTTAGCTGTACGACAATAAATTTTTATGAAATTTCTTCATAGTTTTATCCGAAGAGATACCAAGAGAAAGTTGCGAATATAAAGACGATGTGTGTTCAGTACCCGACAAGATAACTTTAGCCAATTGTTTGAAAAAAGAATTAAAATGCCTATCAACAACTATTTGTCAGTTAGCTCAAAGGCAGCATCCCATTAATCCTACGTAACATAAAAAAGTCTGTTTTGAGGAACCCAGGGAAGAATAAGGGTAGCCAACAAATTGAAGAATGGGGAGAATAAATGAATTTTAAAAATTCTAGGAGGCGTTGAGTTATGTTAAAAAGTCCCCACTTCCTTATGTAACATAAGTCATCAAACGAATGATTTTCTTAGAAATTAACAATATATGAAACGACCAACAAAGATTAGAAGGGAAACTTCTTCCAAGATAGGTGAAATTTGACTTATTTCCTAGGACACTGCCATCGATAGGACATGAATCAGGGAACTGACTCAGTTTACACAAGTGTCTTGAGGCTCTATGCTTCACTCGGGATGCAAAAAAAAGGAAAATATCATAATTGATGCATCGTGTGATGACTTGAACTTGTGGTTAACTAACTATTTCTAAGTGAACTATGAAAAAAAACCTAGGCGATTAGATCAATGTTATACAGCATAGATTTGCGTTTCATCATATGACAGTTAATCAAATAGGGTATAATAAAGATTCAAAGAGAGGTTGATTGCTGAATCCTAGTTCATAGAATCTACACCCAACATGTGTGATAGGAATGACTCATCACTCATATTGCAAATATGTAAAATTACTACTACTAATCAGATAAAGCGATGAAAAATAATGGAATTAGAGAAAAAAAGAGTTAGAAAGTTGTGTGAGTCACTTGATAGGATTATGAGCAGCAATAAATTGTGCTCGAAACGTGGTCATCAGTAAATATTATTGTATAACACTGTGAGACTTTATCAAAATAAAATTTTACCCATAATGGAATTACCATAAATGGCCCCTATTTAACCCTTACATTCAACACAAAACTCAGTTTAAGCGACCTAGGCTTCTTATCCATTTAAAGTTTGACAGTATAAATCAACAAAGAAAAATCCATCTCTGTGCCGAAGAAGATGCTCTACATGGAATGTGGCGCTCAAAGGCAACCTTCTGGCCGACATCCAAAAGAGGAGAATATCAAACGCCCTGAAAAATTTCTTTGTTGCTACATTAAGATTAGTATTCTCCTGATGCCCAGTGTTCTTCAGCAACTCTAACGATAAACTATTGCATTTAACCAATTCTATGTGTATCCAACAATTCACTTGCCCCTTTGGAGCAAACTATACGGGTCGTTCGATGCGTGTTTTATCTAAAACAGTTAAGGAGTACTATTCCGCTTGGTTACAGAAAGGTCACCATGGATTAATAAAGAGTGCTATAATCGAACATATATATTCAATGTTTGCCACTCACTATGTAGGGAAAATTTGTTCAAAGTCATTTATCTACAAAGCCGCTTTATACCTTGTATTGCTGAGGTTTTAACGAATCGGATGGAAAATCCCCTTTTTCTGTCTTTTATCTACCTTTGTGTGCTACAATGGAACGCAGCGGCTTGAACTACTGGACTTCTGTGCTAAGTTCTATACTGAAACTCAGAAAGCGTTAGACAGCATATTATCATTCACGTAAGACACGTGTAGTTAGAAGCTAACACTAAGCCTAGACCGATAGATTTACCTATTGGCCATTATTACTATAAATATTCAACATAAAAAGAACACGTAACCAAAGTTCATTTAGACAGTTTACTTAGTATACTATGAAAAGTCAATGACACATTCCAATGTCTTGTGTCTTTTAAAATCTACTTAAATATATTTCAGCAATAATTTGTAAGACAAGACCTCAACATTATATATATATATATACATATATTATCTGCAGCTCTACGGTATTTGATAGTTCAGTAATTCAAAATAACACACCACATGACAACAAAATAGTCTTGAAAACCATCATTTCATCACAAACCAGATTTTCAAGTTGGCCAGAACAAAGTGCGGTATCAATTGATGAAATTTAAGACTGGTGGTTTAAGACACCTGGAAAGGTATGGAATGCCTGACTGAAGTTCTTAATATGATAAAATTCAACAACGTAAGAGTAGAATTTGGAAAAATCTGGTAAAAAAATATATATTTCCGTACTAGATAGATTCATTTGAGATGACACACGGTACTATTGTATTATTGTTGCTCCCTTGGGTCCCGAGTGGAACATAGGACTTCAACAGAACACCTCTACTTTTCCTTAGCTCTGGGATTTTCTTTAGCCGGCCGTACGATCATCGATACTCTCTCACCTCCTCCCCACACGACCTTCTCCATGTCACCCTTGAACCAAAGTCCAGCTCGTTGTTTCCTACTTGAGTTCCATTCGACAGATGGCCTGGAGCGTAATGGCACTCAACGGTCTCCTGAGATTGTGTCCGATCCACTTCCAGTTTTTCGGAATATTTGTTGAGCATTAGGTTCTGGACTGCTTCTCTTCTAGAGTTTCTTATGCTAATTCTTTATGCCCTGTTATCTGGTCTTCAGTGTGGAGCCAGTGAACCAGATGTTGAGAAAAGTCTGCAGCGGGCTGTTGGAAACGCTTTTGTAACGCGTCCGCCAAATTTCCCATCCATTTAGAACATCTGACTGACTTAGCATTGGTGTTGGAAACCAGAACCGCCTTCTGTATGCTGAGTGCAAAAGATCTCCAAACTGATTTCAGAGTGATGAATATGTGCCTTGCCTTTCCGATTCTGATTTTGACAGCTTCATCCGTGTAGTTGAAACGATACTGTCTAGATAAGTTAGAAAGTGACCCTCTCAAATTCCTTCCGTTCATAGTGATGGGTGCTTCTTGTTGTTGTTGATTGATTATCTTCATCACCTTCATCTTCGTTATGTTCACCTGTCTGGCCTGTCTTTGCTGCCAGCGTCTTCTCCCAAATTGGTTGATTTTCGCCTGTAAATCTTGGAGTTTATGTGACATTAGACACAAATCATTCGCGAAATCCAGATCTTCTAGAGTCTTCTTATCGGTCCAACGTATTCCTGTCTTTTCGCTTCCAACAGTCTGACATGGATAATCGAGTTCACCACAGGAGTGATACAGTGTATTAATAACTGTTTTGAGAACAAACTATTGCTCACAATCGGTACACGTAGGTCTACTTAAGTGTTTATGTATTGGGGCCAGAAGTTTGACTAGTAAGTTGAAAAATTTATGAAACAAAATAAACAAAGGAAACATAACTAGTGAATAAATACCCAGCAGATCTTATTCAGAAATGTATGGAGACATAGAAAGAAAATATGAGTAATAATATGCATAATGAGAATAATATGGAATTATAAGCAATTATGAAGCCTCGATAGTACTACCACATAAAGAAGGAACATCAGAAGTCTTTTTATTAATATTAAGGCTGGAATTCGGAGGGCTCTTTGATTTTGATTACAGCTTGATGCCACACCGTATTTTCAGTACAAGTATGGAATTTTCAGCATGGATATGGGTAGCCCAAATTTTGCAGGCCGACCATAGACATCGGGTGTGCGTCGGCAGGGGATCGAACCCCGGACCACGTACATGGTCGGCGAGAGTCTTAACCACTGTACCACCGACGAACACAGAGATAAACTTTGTCAGACTAAACACTAGACAGATTCAATTAAGAAAAATAATAAAGTTTACCAAATACCATGTAGTGACTCCGAGGTCAGTTACGCATAAGTCAAACTAGCAGATAGGGATCTGTTACGTTAACAGAACATAGAAATTTAGTTAAATCTAGAATGTTTGAACCTATGAAGTTAAATAATCTCAAAAAAGCTCAGTGATTACTAGGCATTCACTCACATATGGGATAGAGTAATAGTATAAAAAAGAAACAAAGGTGACGAGAGAGGTCAATCACAGAATGACTTGTTCATCAAGTAGAGACCTAAATGACGAAACACTTATACTGGGTCTATAAAAAATTGGAATAAAAAGCAAGCGAGAGCAAGGCTAATATATACAGAGTAAGTTAGAGATTTGTGAATATTTTGATGCGGTTAAAAGCAATAAATTGTTCTCGACACATCATCCAGTTATTAATGCTGTGTAGTATATCCTAAAAAGCCATTGGTTGAAGGTTGTTGGAGATATGACTCAAAATAGTTCTCAATAGTGAAGATGTACTCACTTTCTGTGAATTTATGAAATGTAACAATTTGAAATGCTGCACTTTTGTGAAACAGAGTTCTACATTGGAAACTCAATCGGTCAGCTAAATTGTACAAACAGTAATACATTTACACAAACAACAGTCTACTTGATTCCAAACTCTTAAGGAGCAATTAATGAAAGGCCAATAACACTTAAACAATAAAAAAAAAGATTAAAGACACAAAATTATCACTACATAAGACAAAATACAGAATATATATATGTATATATACTATAATACTTACCCGCCATAATGTAAGTAAACCTTCTTCACGAGTGATCCGTATCAAAGCATTGAACACATTGGAATAATTTCGACGTTCTGCTGGTGGTAATCTGATAATTTAAAATATTCATTGATTATTTTCTCTCTATTTCTTTTTAATAAAACATAGCTTTAACTAGTAAATTTGAAGTAGATGAATAAACCAATGTAATAATCCAACTATGACTGACAGCTTGTAAGCTGTTCAGAAGATCTAGGTCTGACTGTCTCACTGACTGAGTTCCAACATAGAACTTTGCACAGAAGTTCAACAGTTCAAGATGCGACACTCCATGTAGCATATCAAGGTGGACAAAAGGGATTTAGAAGGATTATAAAAAACAGAATAGTAACGTGTAAAACAATATGACGTTTTAGTGGATATTGCAGACCACAAAGAGTGAATGCATCTGCACCACTGAAAACAACTTTGAGCCATATCACTAACAGGACTACAACCAGATAGGCTACACATTCAAAGATTTCATGGGTTGAAGCCAGTTTTTGGTTTGAACACCACTAGCTCTTTTCCAACCTGATCCTATGTCAGCGCTAGCAGTGACTGTCAAGGAAGGGGCGATGCCTCGACATACGCAGCACATGTCCTAACCATCTCAATCAATATAGCTTTAAAAACCCCCGAAGACTTAGGGACTTAGTTTTAGTAGTGGCTTGTATATCAAGATAAACAAATTAGGTTGACAATATTTGCTTTGTATTGCCCGATGATTGATTATGTTGGACAGAAATGTTGGGTTCTAGTTGATATGTCAGCACCCAGCACGAACGCTTCAATGATTTCTAAAGATTGATTTGAAGTTATTGTTGACTGGTGGTGACTAACAGTGTAATCCAAGATGTAAATCTCGTCCTGTATGGGGGTCGTCATCTGGATGCGCCTACATTGCCGGTGAGTCCTAAACTTTGGGCTTATCGTTTTAAACGCATTATCCACTAAGCCACAACAGCTAACTCTGTTGCAACGGGTATCAGTCATTACTCGTTTAAGTTAACTTCGTGTTTCAGGTTTGATCATGAGTTGACAGCCCCCTGAGGTTCAAGCCCAAGAGCTTCCAACCGCGAGACGGACTAATAGACCATTCAGCCACTGGGTCATAGAACTTGGCACCGAAGTGCAGCAGTTCAAGTTGCCACGTTCCAAATAGCACACAAAGGTAGACAAGAAAATGTTTAGAAGAGAATCAATAGAATTTAGATAAGTATAAAAGTGAAACAGAATGAGTAATGGTAGAAAGGAATATGAAGGTTAAAGAGACTGAATACATCTGCATAAGCCATTGACAACGATTTTGAGCCATGTCACCTATTGTCTCCAGCCATTGATTCTTAGAGTCCCGAGGGCCCCAACCCAGAAGTCTGCATTTCCCTACCTGACTCAGTTTAACTGTCAGGGATTTCATGGATTGATGAGGCCATGTTTTTGTTTGGCCACCACTTACTCTTTTCCAACCTGCACCTATATCAGCTAGTAATGCCCGTCAGTCGGGGGAGGCGATGGTTAGGCATGCGCAGCACGTGACCTAGCCATCTCAATCTATGTAACTTCATAGCCTCGTCGATTGATTTTCCCTCTTTGCCCAACACTCTACGCCTAACGTCAACATTACTTACCTTATTATACCACCTAACGCGAGAAAGAGATCGTAAACATCTGTGGTCAAAAACAGACAATCTCTTCATGTCTTCCGCTCTCAATGGCCACGTTTCACCGCCATAGAGAAGGACGGAGCAAACTGCTGAGCAGTATACACGTCCCTTGGTTGACAGCCGGATGTCAAGCCTACGCCAGAGACGGTGAAAGTTAGCGAAAGCAGCCCGAGCTTTTTGGATCCGTGCTGTGATAGTTGAAATCATTTAGAGAACCACTGGAAAACTTGGGAGTACTTTGTATTTCCCGTTGATTGACTGTAGTGAACCAAAATGTCTGGTCTTTGTTGACACATCTTATTGGAATTTACCATTAAAACTCACTAGAAATCGCCAACAAGTCGCAAATAAAAAAACGAAATGCATATTCTGGATTCCACTGTTAGTCACTAAAAGCCAAAAATATATTTCAAAGAAACTATTCTTATAATATCAACAACAGATGATGAATGCAAGTAAATTGAAATGAATCTATTTTCCTAACATCTCCATAAGCCCAGAAAGACAAAAGTGTTGATGCAGAAACTTTATCCTTCAAAATGTCATTTCAAAACACCTTGACTATGTAGGAGTTTCAACAACAAACTGCAAATACCTATTTTAGAATTACGCTAAACTGAAGTTAAAATTATCATTGTGAACATGTTATGATTTGAATGAATCTTTAGTAATGATTGAGGGTAAACTGTTTCTTTTCCTTAAACTCAAAAAAGAATGCTAATTCCCAGATTTTTTCACTCTTTTGCGTTCCTTGTACAACATAGGACTGACTGACTGGTTTCAACGCAGAAATTTGCACAGATGTGCATCGGTTCACACACCAATCAAGAGAAGAGAGTAGAGAAAGATTCAAAAGAGAGATAACAAACAGATACATGAGGCGAAAACAATATAGTTTTATTGGGTATTATAAGTCACAAGGAATGGATGCATCTGCGCCATTATCGAGAACGAGGATTTTGAGTCATATCACCAATTATCTCCAGCCATTGGTTCTTACCATCTCGAGGACCCCAGCCAGGAAGTCTACACCTCCCTACATGACTGGCTGGCTTCAACTAACTGTTGTGGATTTCATTGACTGATGAAGCCATGTTTTGGTTTGACCACCATTAGCTCTTTCCTAACCTGATCCTATGTCAGCGGCTAAGATTGCTCATCGAGGTAGGCAATGCCTAGGCATGCATAGCACACGTCCTAACCATCTCAACAAAGATTAGAGAAGACAACTTTAGAATTCCTGTAAAAAAGCAAGTTGAATACTTTGAGCAATGTTGGACGATAAAATCAAGAGACTCAAAATACTGATTCGCAGCATCTTGAGCATCACGCCAGATAACCTACAGTTAGCAAGTAACTTCAATACTCAACAGGGATACTGCAATTAGGATTAATTTAATAAAGTACTCCTCCACCAGAGATGTTACCTAGTGGAGTACTGGTTATAACTCAAGAGTCTACATTATTAGCCTGTGAAAATCCTTAAACCTGGGAAAGTTGACAAATTAATTTCAGATAAATTATACGTACACAGAAATCGTCAAGGTAGATTTCGTTATAAAAATCCACATCAGCTTCAGAACAACTGAAAACCAAGCACCGTTAGATAGCTGATTCGTTCCAGTTTCAGACCCTTCAGTAATGCTGAACACTCCAAAGTGAGAGCTCTACCATCCACCTGTTGGATCAGAAATCAATGATTCAGTACCTCCAACTTTTGCTGACATCAACAGTTTTACGATTGAAAAAAAGATTGAAATATTGGATTATACACTGAGAATAATAGCCACACGCATTAGAAACTAACCACATATTTGATCTAGTTATTCTAAGCATACATTTGAATGTAAGCTAAACAGAGAAATTGTTCAACTTACCTGCCATCTGATGTCATTCGAATTAAACAGATCTCAGCCGGTGTACCAATGAATGCACCGCATACTCCAGCAGAAACAGCTATACCAATTTTCATGAAAAAGTTAGGCGATTCATGCTTAAGTTTTGAATACTGTTCAAATAAATTTGTGTATATACCCAGACGCGCAGTTGAATAGGTGGCTTGACGTAGTAGACCAGCAGATAAGCTATAAAACAAATAGATTCTTAATTAATTCACTTAATAGGGTAACAACATCTATTTGAATGAATAATGCTTCTTACCGTGAAAAATACGAAACATCATAAACAATTCAAGATGTATGATGAAATGGAAGTTAACAAGTTTACAAGTGTAATACAGTGATCACATTGAAATTACTATTCCCTTAGGTTCCGAGTGAAACATAGGGGTTCAACAGCACACCTCTACTTTGCCTCGTCCTCAGCGGTCCTCTTCAGCTGGCCCTACGATTGACTATACATTTTATCTCTTCCATGTCACTCTCGGACACGTGCTCAACTCGCCGTTTCCAAATATGGTTCTACTAGAGCTATGGACTGGCGCGCAGTATCACCAAATGGCTTCCTCAGTGTGTCCGACCCATCTACACTATCTTCAGCATGCTGTTTGGGGAATAGGATGTCGGCCGGCTCGCTGAATGTCATAGTTTCTTTTTTGCTAATCCTTTCTAGTCATTTGGTCTTCTGTATGGAGACAGCGGAGGTAGCTGTTGATAAAATTCTGAAGCCAGCTGCTGGAAATACATCCGATGACACGCCAATTCTTTGAACCGCATAGAAGTGACTTGATCTTAGTGTCGAAAAACTGAATTTTGTTCTTTATTGAAGAGTAAAGTATATATCCACACCGATTTCAGAGTAATGAGGACCTGTTTTGCTTTCCTAATCCTGCCTTTGATACGCGCATTCATACCACAGTCTGGTAGTTGAAACGATTCTGCCTAGATGAGTGAAAGAAGTGAGCGATGCGTTCTTAAGTGGTTCGCCATGTTGACAGAAAGATGGCTATTCATGGACAATGCCAAATAGTGTTACACAGTCACATCGTGTTTTAAGTAGATAGACTGTGTAGTTGCAACATAAACTGCAAAGCTTCATATACGAATTCCTCTTAATGAATTTTATTTAACAAAACAGTAATAGTACATAGAACATAGATTAAAACGAATCCATTTTATTTTATCAGTATATCCCTTGTCAACTGCTTAAAACAAGATTATTACAGTTTTCAACATAATTTGGCTTGACATTAGATGGTTGGAAGCAATCAGCAGGAAGTTTTGGACATAGGTTTCGTGCTAGCTGGCACTCACCAGTCAGTAAGGCATATATCTGCAACCTTGAAGGAACTAATATCCCTTCTGAAATTCGAACCCACGTCACCCAGTGCTGCAGTTAAACAAGTTACCAATAAGCTACTCGGGCCAGTGATTGACTTCCCTCAGAACTGTATTGGATACTTAGATTGGACTTCCTGCCGATTGCCTCCAACTACCTAATATCAACAATTTACAGCGTACAGCGTGATGATGATCCATCTTGCATGGTGGTCACATTGCAAATTTGACTGACAGAATTTAGTCGGAACCAAAGAAAGGACTAGATGATACATAACTAGTGTCCAATCTAAATACTTCAGTTTGATTGTAAAAAAACAAATGTCCAGCAATAATTAAGAATGATCATAGTATATATAGATGAATAGAAATATTCAGTGAACAAAATAATAAAATTAATTGTGAATATAAAACAAAGTTTTTCAGATATAGAAGAAAGAAGCAATGGTGACAAGAAGATGTTCATACGTGGATAAATCATAAAATTACATAAGTCATTGGAAAACTGTTGTTAAATAGAATACAAATGCATAGAGTTTACAGTGGCTAAGACTATATTATCTGTTAAACTATATTCTTTGAACACCATTAAAAGTCAGCTCTTACTAACTAACCATTTAGTTGAATATAACTATTTCCACAAAGTAATTATTCTATTATTTATGATCAGTCACCATTAGCATATCGACACCTAGTGTAAGGAAGAAAGGACCGATGTGGGGCTCGAAGGCAATATTTCTTAAGACAAACTCATTGTAGGTACATAAATTTGGTTTACCTTATCTTCAATGCTTTATTTGCAGATCATTTGCAAATTGGTCGAATATCACCACATTCGATAGCTTGTTGAATCCTGCACAGTGTGTTTCTAACGTTCTTCTCACAGTTCTCTTCTTCGATTGCTTTCTTTCGAGTGTCCGAACCATATTGTTACTTTTCTGAACTCATTTGCTGATATACTACTTATATCTGATTATAAGTAGACCTCACATCACTAGTGGAGGGATTCGTCAGTTAGATATACGTATATTTGAATGACAGTGACAGTGTTCCCACAGAGACACTAGAATACAACACCCATCTGTCGAAACACTGAAATATTATCCACTAGACTAACCTAACCACATCATGCGCGGCGGGTATCAGTTGACTGGTACTTACTGAAACTGGGTTTCTTTCTTCCGTTGTTTGCTGTTACTGAACTGAAACGAGATCGGTTTCATTTTTGAATTTCACAGATATCAGTAGCACGGACGCTTCATATTTGAAAGTCACAGGTGTATCATCAAAGGCTCTCCAGTAGTGATGTGAGTGCCACTTATAATCAGATATAAGTAGTATATCAGCAAACGAGTTCAGAAAAGTAACCATATGTTTCAGACACTGGAAAAAAAGCAATCGAAGAATAGGACTGTGAGAAGAACGTTAGAAACACACTGTGCAGAATCCAACAAGCTATCGAATGTGGTGATATTCGACCAGTTTGCAAATGATGTTCAAATAAAGCATTACAGATATGGTATACCAAATTTATGTACCTACAGTGCGTTTGTCCTAATAAACATTGGCTTCGAGTTTTGTCGATCCTTTCTTCTTTACACTACTACATGGCACAATATTATTCTCTTGTCAAAATAGATGAACTATTTTAATAACCTATTAAGGACCTATATATATATATATATATATATATATATATATATATATATATATATATATATATAATGGGCTAAATACCGAAAAGTCACTAAATGGATATTTTACTTACATTATTATTCGAACTTAGTATGTCTAAATGCTTGAAACTCTAATTGTCGAGGAGCGAGACTTATTGAAACACATCGCAATGAAAAAATGAAGTGTTACTCGACAACCACTTGCACTTTCATGCAGTTGTTGGCAATCAGCCAGCACACTTACTATGTGTGTGAGGGCTTATCATGCTATCTGACTGCCCAAACCTCGGTAGGAGGAGCGGGATCTGAACCCGTGACCCGGTGGCTGAATAGTGAAATAAGGTAGCCTCATAACCTGAAGATACTGGATTCGACCTCAGGCGGAGTCATAGGTGTTGAAGAGTCCCACAGAAGGACGACGCGGCTATCTAGCACTTCCTGGATGACCCACAGTTTCACATGAAACGCATTAATGATATACTTTAAAAAATAAACAGCTAACCCTGAATATATTGCAAAAAATCCTTCATTGCGTATAACTGATAAAAGAACCTGAAAGCTGTTGCGTTGACCAGCACTAGCACCTCCTCCAACACCTATCAAGTTGGAAAATAAAATACAGGAAAGAGTGAATGAATAAATGACACCACATATGAAAAAAATACAACAACGAAAGCCACACTCAACACTGAGAATACACACAATGAGGAGAAACTCACTCAAATCAACAATACTGATTTCAATTGTCTAAACTATGCATTCATATGAGATAGAAACGATGGTTTTCGCCAATTTCGAGAAAACACCATCTGGTACGATATTCTCAACTACAGGTTTCATGAAATATATAAAATTTAATTACACCTATTCTTTTATGAGTGCTCTTCGAATACTTATAATCAAACCAAAATTATATCAAAATGTTACTTATTTAAAACGCGTTACACACAATATGAGCACACAAAGAGGTGCACCCGCCAAAATAAAACAATATAGAGAAAAAAGTGAAGAAGTTGAACGACAACGAAATATGTGGATGAGTATTCAAAAGAATGTATTACTTCCGGTCAATCCTAATTTCTACGACCGTTGGACATGAACGTGGAAGGTGAAGGACGAGAAAAGATTAGTGCTTTTTGACTCTGAGTGCTTATATTCAGTCTCGAGTGCAGGGTGGAACAGTATCATAAGGCATAATGTCAGCTAAGGATGAAAAGCCGACCGATGGAGCTTCACAGCTCCATGACACGCCACCATCTTTCTAGACGAGTAATAGAGAGATTTTGGAGGTGGCCAGATGAAAACATATCACCCATTAATAACACCTTTGACAGTTAACTTGAGACACATAAAGACTTATAAACCATCGGGTTGAGGTCTTTAGAATCCTGAGAATCAACCGTCGAAGATTATTGGTTACATGGCTAATAATCATCTGCAGTAGACTAGATGTATTCATCGCCTGTTATCTTGCAGATTTTGAAAACAGACTTATTAATTTCCATTTGACTAATATCTCTTCTGTATATCTTTGTCCATTATAACTTCAATACATTTATTTTTCCTTCCTTTATGTGCTTTATCGCAGTGAGACAATTTGAACTGATGCACTTATATATATAAAGCACTGTGTCGAAAGTTCAGTTTAGTTCAAATCAATACACACCACTTGTCTAGGTACTTATAAATATGAAAATATATTGACCCAAATAACAGAATAAATCAACGTAAGATGTTCCTTTTACAATCAGTGGCCTTAACTTTAACTTTAACTTGCCTTAACTCATTTAAGACTAACATTATTCAACAATGTAGGTATGATTCAGCTCTCTCAGAAGTTCAGGGTTACAATATTAGTTTCTCTTGACTGTAAGAAACAGGGCAGCTGAAAAATTTCCAGCTCAATAACAAAAGATGTGCTCAGTTCTTTAACTATTATTTTTTTTCCAGTTATCCAACTGGCAATGGTACATGATGAAAAGCTACTATACATATGATTAATTACACAGAGAAATATAACTGCTGGACGATGACTAGTAGCGGAATCCAGAATGTGCAATTCGTCCTATTTGGGATTCATTAGCTGAATGTACTTGCAGTCCCCAGTGAGTGATGGAGTTATCGGTAAGGAGGGAAAGTCAGTCGATGAGATTGTGAAGTTACATTGATTGAGATGGCTAGAACATGTGTGTTACGCATCCCTAGTCATCGGTCTCCTCGACGGGTAATGTTAACCAATGACATAGGATCAGGTAGGAAAGAGCTAGTGGCGGTCAAACCAAAACTTGGAATCATTCCATGAAATCTCTGACAGTTAGTTTGGACCAGCCACTTAGGGAGGGGTAGACTATTTAGTTAGGGTCCTTGAGATGCTAAAAACCAATGGCGAGAGATAATCAGTTGACATGGCTCAAAATTGTTTCCAATAGCGCAGATGCATTCACTCTTTGTGATCTCTGATATCCACTAAACCCTAATGTTCTTCGATGTTACTATCTTTTCCCCCTCATATTTCTGCTTACTATCATTCTTTCAGATATCTTTTTTCCTCTCATTTATCTCCCATTGTGTGCAACACAGAGTGTAGCAACTTTAACTGCTGCTCTTATATGCAAAGTCGTGTATGTTGAAACCAGTCAGTTAATCACATGGTGCTCTCACTGAAACGTCTCAACAGAGATCGGAAAATCGACGAGAAATCCAAAGTTAAATTAAACAAATAATAACTGATATCCGTTGCACAAGAGGTGGCTTCCGTGGCCAAAGTGGCTTAGTAGATAACGCTTTAGCGTTTGTAACGACAAGTGCGAGGACCCAGTTTCAGTGGGAATAACATCATCACTCGACGGATGCTGCGAGCTCATCCAGCCGATAAGTCCCAAATAGGACAAAAGGCAGATCCTGGATTCCACTGCTAATCATCATTCATCAAATAATATCACATTAATCCTCAGAAATTCCCGACGCGTCTACACCTGCAGCCGATATGTTAAGAGACCGAGTATTTCAGTCCAGCATAATCAATCAATAGGAAATGTACAAAATTAACTTGTCAAGTGTTGGTTTGCAGGGATTAGATTGGTTACGGATTCGATTACTAGCTGTCATCAGTTAAAGAACCAGTGGAAAATCAGGGAGTACTGGGCAGTTGTTTCGTCCTCACATGGGACTCTTCATCAGTACGCAATCAACAGACTTTGAAGCCATGACCTTCCGATTACAAGGTGAGCCACGCAGACCATTCAGCCACTGGGACCCGATCTAATGGCCTATGAATTCTAACTTCTGACAGCTCGCGACATATAACGCAACACTGAAACAAAGTGTAATCCTTAATTTAATACTATCTTACCCCTCTCAAATTAACATAAAGATATAACCAAGGCTCTCGGTGAGTAAAATTAATATTTATAATAAAGCAGAATATAGGGGAAACACTATGAGCAGAATGAAAGCGGTTAAAAATAACAGAATACCCTTATATGACTTATGTGGAATGAGAAATATTAGCAATAATAAAATAGGTTACCATAGGTGTGTTTAACCAAAAGGCAAGTGGACAGATAGATCAGTGGTGGATAAATAACTAGTGACAGCCACAAAGTATCTTAAAAGCTATTCTAATATATTTGTGAAGTTCAGAAGGCGTAAGCAAACATAACTTCTTTAAGAGGTGAGTCAAGAAACATCAAGTTCTTTGGATTACTAATGAGTGTATACCTGAGGAGAATTTAGCAAAGTCGTAAATATTTCTTCATAAAAACTCAAATAATAATAAAAGTGGGACGTTGGAACTCTAGTGGATGTTTTTTCATTTATTCACTCGGTAAATTTAGGATCACATAATGATGAATCGTGCGTCAGCGGCAGAATGCTCACCAACCACGCAGGTGGTTCGGGGTCTCGTCCCCGGACGAAAACGCACCCTTTTACCTCTAAGTCAGTAATAAGGCTGGTAAAGAGGGAAGGTTGGACATGAAGCTAGCAACCCCATCCCGTAAAAATAAAAACACGACTGCTACCGGAACTTCAAAGCTGTAGCTTGAAGCCCATTGTTCCACTGGGAACGTACGGGAATAAAAATAAATGCTGAATCTCTAATCCAGTGGTATTACCCCATAGTTGACTAAAAGAGATCAATCAAAAGACTTTAAATAATCTAATTAAGCAATTACAAGGATTACTTCATTGTTTATCGTTAAGCCTACAACTTCTGAAAGCTGTGGAAATGACTAATACAGAAAACTGAGTAATTACAAGTTCAATGGACTAATTTGATAGGATAATTATAGGCATAAACAGTAACATGATTCTTATCGACAAAAAAAACAGGCTGTAATTATTTGTTCTCAAAGTTATAAGCGAAACAGGTGAACAAAGACATTTAGAAGATTGAAAATGTTGATCATACCGCTCATTTGCATTCGATTTTTGACCAAATCTAACGGTTGAACACACACAGAAGCGCACATTCTGTAAATTTAAATGATGAAAAGTATCAATAAAAATTGTTAACTCGATGATGATGATGATACGAAACATACTTTATCAAAACAGGAAAGCTATATGCATTTGGATTCGCATTATTTGCTCATTGAGACGACTGAATTATCATAGCTCTTTGTGTTTAGTTTATATACCGCACTACTGATTATATGAGCCTTTTAAATAATAACAACAAAGGCATTACTCAGATTTCTGAAGGTTGTAAACATAACACTAATTCAAATATCTACACGATTATCGTGACTCATAGACGGATGTAGAACATTGCATGGAAATGCATCAGTTCAAATTCAGGAAAAGTACAAAAAAGACAAGAAAACTGATATATAAGCATACGTCAATGGGGAAACATGGTTATGAAGGGGAGAGTAAAAGAAGATAATCAGAAAGTATTCAGAATCTGGAAGATGATAAGAAGTACCATTTTCTCCTTAAATCTTCAGCATACAGTTAGCAACTTATAATTTAATGGTAACATTTTTTCAGTCTCTTACTGTAATGTAATCGACCTGCAAGCATATTAATTTTGGGAAGCGTAATCTGTTAAGTGAGTATGCCTACGTGATTGCGAAACCAACAAGACAACCATAAGTACTATAGTGGACAATACAAACAAAAGTTTGTGTATTAAGCTACTAGTGATAGATATTTTCAAAAACCGGGAAATGATACAAGTTTAAGATAACCATCTACTAAGGTGCTGTGAGACCGGACAATAATATTACCTTTATAAAAACTATGAAGAAGCATACTTCAGCGGTTTCAATTTAAGGTCAACTATATGGCACTGTAAATGTAATACGATACTGATTAATTTATCATTACACTGTCATCATCTCTACATAAGGACTGTTTCATTTCATTACAGCTATTCCTATAACTATTTTTACTTCGTCCCGTCTAGCTGCTTATTAGTGTTCGGAATCTTCAAAATCCGACTGCACCATTTTTCATCTTTAAAGGGTTGCTTCCAAAAAGGTTCCCTTAAATATAATCTCCTAATCAATAACTTTAACACTGAATTTGCAACCTATAACACCCGCACCTGACAACAGATAGGTTTTGCTCGAAACCTAGATACATGATACATGCTGCATCTAACGAAGCAACACACAAGATTTCTGTGAAGGGCTTTAAATGACTTCACCTTCTTGTTTATAGGTATGCATCATATGTGTTTATCCAAAGAACCTGTAACACCAGCTTTCGGTTGTGCTGGTGTCGAGCTAAGCGTTAAAGAATAAAATGCATTTTTTTGAATGTCTTCAATATGTCATAAATATACGCTGAGACCACAAATGTCAGCCAAAAAAGCAACTGCTAAGGTAAACAGTGACTTTCTGAAGTCTCTACCTAGGCTAAGAGTGCAGCCTGATTGCAATTAAGGACGGTTTTAAGTATTAACTAAGTCACTCCCCCCAACTATGAGCGTCTGAAAGATGGCGGTGACTTTAGCCTATAAGTCGAGTCTTTGGGATCAATCACTTACTCAGCTGCACATTCGGGATGGTGTTTTGAAACACTGGATTAGGTATGGAAACTTAGACTACCATACAGTATTGTCTATCTGCAATAATTTTATTTATTTCAACAAAATTACTGCTGATCATACTGGAGTTCCGTTTGTGTTAATTATAACCGCCGGTAAGTTTTTAACAATGATGCTTGTCTGTTCACTGTATCATGCTCTGAGCACCTTTTCGTACCATTTGATATTGTTTTGTTGCTTTGTGTATCGTATTTCCCCGTATGTTCACACAGAACAAATTTATTAGAGCTAAATTCATCAGTTAAGCGAGACGAGGAATCGAGGATTTTGCTTTCTCCCACTTTATGACAAAGTTGTGTTTGAACAAAAATGCAGTAATGTGCATCTCTTTTATTTACCAATTTTCTTAACAAATATGCTCTACAACATTGTAGTGGTAGATAATTCCCCAAAATTATTAGCCACAGCATTCATCATTCAATATTGGATGCTGACTCTCAATGTTTAAATCGACTTGTTTAGCTGAAGGCTAGCCGTCAAGCATCCACGCCATTTGGCACGTCGTCGTGTTAAGTTCGTTCGTTCGTTCGTGCACGATCCCTAGTTAGTAAGCCAATCATCCTCGCACTAAGATTTGGTCCCAAAATATTTTTGGGACAATAAATTTAGTGTTTTGTTTTTTCTTTGGTCTAAGCGGAACGAATACTATATTTGTGGGTATTAGATTTTGCATTAGTATACATCATACTATCCATGAACATCAACACCCTCAGCCTCTAAAGTATGTTTATTGTAAATGTGATATTCTTAAAGAGGTATTAATTCGACAAAAACACCTCATAAAAATGATAGTTTACTCAGAAACTAGATTTAAGTTTAAAACTATTCAAATAATATATCGCATTACAAAAAACATACCCAGCAGTTCCACCTAATACAAACTTCATAGAAGGTGGCACTTCAGCCTTTTTAGTTTCATTTGACATTGTAAACAATTTCGACCTGAAGTGCTTCGTCAGATTAAAATGTAGGAAAAGTAAATGAAAAGGAACATTTAGAATGTATAACTACAAATTAAAACACTTTAACACCTAAAGCAATTTTAAACGAAAACGAACAGATTGCAACAGCAGTTACCTCATTTGACCGATATGGTGTACAATTACTAGAAACTGCACCATCATCTGTACACTGCGCTAAAAATACATTTTACAAGGAATAACAAGAGATATTATTATAGGTGTGAAGATTAAACAATTTACAGAAACAATTGAAGGTCAACAGATCATTAGGAATGAAAATACAACTTGGATAAACCACATATAAAGATAAAACACGTGCTTTAGATAACATACTCTTCAGTGAACTCACTTACTGCAACTGAACAACTACATACAACCTATTTCATCAATGTATCCGACAGTTTTGAATTTAAGAATATATAACTAGTAAAATAAATGTCAAGTTAAGATTAACAAGTATCAATCAAAATTTGATGCGGCCATAATAAAGATGAACAACTACAGATAAGATTCTGTGGAATAAGACAAAATACTTAAGGAATGAATCGTCATCAAAATAAGCACGGAAATACAAAAAGTAATATTACGTGAGAAAGAGAACTTTTCAGAAAACATTTTAGTAATTGTAACGTGAATACTTTAAAAACAAGAAAAGAAGTTGAACAAGTTCCTTCTGTATGCACAGCTCGAGTTTTTTGTTTGTTAGATAGCTAAAGCGTCAAGACTACACATGAGGCAGACCGATAACGATTTTGAAGGGTACTTGTGGTCCTGTAGATAACTTTCAAGAAAGAGATTATTGAGAAAAACTGACCAGTGCAAACAAAATGTTTAATTAATGCCCACCCTACAGAACCACTTTCATCACTGCATAGCCATTTAGCGTAACGTTCATGCACTCTTTCGGACAGAAGCCTCGTTGAATGACTGATCTACCTAGCTCCACAAGACTGACAAAAATCTTGGTAACTTCACATTTACATTAATACGCATTTTAGATGCAGAACTAATGGACGCGTTCGTGAAATAAACGGAATATAATTGCAAATGTATATGCGTGGTTTGCTCAGAGGTTTATGCTCCAAAATCACGAATTTTCTGTAATAAAACATTCAAATGCTTAATCTGAGCTACATATTATCTTTTGTTTCGAAATATTGATCTACAACACCACGGCAAGTGATAAAAAACAAAGAGGAATCCGATGCATACAAACTGAAGCAACGTTTTCCTTACAATCAGTAATCCATCCACATAGCTACACTTAAAATCACAAGCTTAGATATTAAGAGTGGCGTGAAGCCTGGTACATGAAAGGAAACCCTGACGGATTGAAAGAACTGTGAGAATATCCGAGTCCTTACTTTTTCGCGCCATATCGTCTGTTCTTAAAACAGGGATTCCAATAGAGGCAATATTTCCCAATTATATCAACACACATATCAGCACTACCTTTGTTTAATAATTAGACTGAAAGGTTCAGATGCATTTGTGTCTTATTTATTATTCATACACAGAACATCTAACCAGCCTAGACAGAATGATTCTTGCAATAAATCATTTTAGTTTCTTTATGCAGGACGACGGAAGGAAATATCTCGACCATTTTGTCATTAAATCACTAAATGATGCGTCAAATCACCTCCATTATTGAAACGAGAACTTAAAAAGTACTGTCTGAACAGTGTAGTTTTTTTTTCTGGGCAAAAAATAATCTAGTAATGAGAAGCCACAGTGAAATATATATGTGCACTGCATTAATGCGTTCTACTCAGTCGAAAACATGCTCATAGCAGTTGATATAATTATCTTTTTGCTGATAACTCGAATAATACCAGTCACAATATGCAAAACACTGATTACCATGACCGAGAACTTCACAAAATTCTAGACGAAAACATTTAACTGCTTATCTCTGAGATATTCACTTCCGCGTACTTTAACACAAGTGGTATCGATTGTAATGCAAGTTTATAAAACATTTTTAAATGGTCGTTAGAACACTTACTTGAGTAAATCAGTGAGCAATAGAAATAGGGCGCGACCTTGAAAAAACGAAATACCCTCTCAAGAATACAGGCTGATTAAAATAGTAAAATAAAAGAACAATAGGTAACATGGATTTCAACCGGAAATATGTAAGGCCTTTGATAATTTCTAGGAATGCGACGAGATTTTCACGTCCAAATTTCTGTTTGACAGATTAACCACTTTTGTCTTAAGCTTAATCCTGAGATGTTTAGTCAGTGGTTTTGGTATTCCGTCTTGTAGATACAGCGGCATAACCCCTTGTTAAATAAATTGCACAAACTGGCAAACATCACTAGATTACAAATTAAATCACAAGTAGCGGTTTTAAAGTCATATAAGTGGTATTTGCACTGGGTTTGTTCGTACTAAATATATGTGTAGACATCAGATATTTTGTAACGAGCTTGCAACAGCACATTTACTTCAAGGCGTTCGCCTCTTGGTTTCGTGCAACCACCTTAAGTCTAATTTAGAATCCGTTGACTTTTCTCTTCGACTTCTGTAACTCTGTTGAACTTTGTAAAAGTATTTATTAAGAAAGATGTCTTTAAATTGTTCCTCGTAAGTGCCACTGCGAAGAATCACATTTGTCGGTCTACCGAATAGTACGACTGAGCCGAAAATAAAGGAAAAAACGATGCTGTGAGAACAGAGTCGAAATCGTTAAAGTTAGGAGGCGAAACCAAACAAGATATGAAGTAAGAGATTAGCACATATAACTAACGGAAAATACAGAGGAGAATAAATGAAAACATATGAAAAAGTGCAGTGAAGAAGAGGCTTAACTAAAACATGTATAGTGAAAACTAAGGAGAAAAAGTGTAAGTTAAGTGGATAAGCAGGGCCAATGTCTAAAGCCTACCATAACAGTCGCTAAGAGCTAGATTCCTTGTCCATTAGACGTGCTCAAACTGTTCATTTCAAGCCTGACCTTGAGTTTACCAGCTGGCCAAGTGGCGGCCACGTCAGTGGTCAGGGAGTACCATGAACAACAAACTTCCACTAGAAAGAAACCGACCAATTTTCAGGTATTCTATTGGAGCGTGTATAAGACTTTATGCAAACTGAGCGAACATTCCTCTCAGTACACTGGCTTTCACAAATTTAAGTAACTTACTAATGAATAAATAAACTACTGGTCTGACCGGTATCATTAAGCTCTACACAAATCCGATATTTTTTGGGGTTGATCAACTTTAAAATACTTTTTATACCTAATTGTGCACAATAAATGCAATCCCTGACTGATACGTTAAGGGGAAAGCCGAAACACTTTCACTTGTCACAAGACTCATTCGACGCGATTGTACAGCTGAAGGAAGCGTTGGCAACAGCCACAACCCTGATTATTTTGCTTTAATAGCAGACTCATCAGATAAGGCTGTGGAAGCAGATGCAAATCAGCTGGTTGAATACAACTGCAAACCGATAGCATTCTTCTCTAAACGGCTTAATCTTGCAGAAACGAGATAATCCACTTTTTGAAGAGAGTTGCTGGCAACATACGTGGCAGTTAAACACATTTGACTCACGAAACAGAAACCAGACTGTTCATGATCTATGCAGATCATAAGACGCATACTTACGCGCCCAAGGTAAAAAAGGACAAATACAAACCACGAGAAATCGATCGCCTTGATATTATAAAATAAATTACCAGTAATATAAGACATTTTCACATCCATCCCAAAATGTTCACCGTACTACAGAAGAACACTGTTACACTGATTTATTTTATTGACACATTTTTGACTAATGTTGAAAAAGTATATTAGTAGTTCAGGTGGTATATTCGTGGAAATTCGTATCATCTTATCGTACCTACTCATCAACATGTCCACATCACAGAGGGCGCAAATGGTTAAGGTAAAGGAGAATGACTACACTAAATAGCATCTACATTCAAATATGAAATTTTGGAAAAAATTCTTAATCAATGACTTCCCACTGAGCAGCTATAATGTTTATAGCAGGCCATGTTCGGCACATTTCAACACACACTATACCTCAATGCGTTCAAAATACCTCCAGATTCTGTTTTTTCGTCAGCCTTAGTTAACTCGCCACCTGCGGCTGTTTCCAATACTATATAGGGTAAATGTGGTTCTAAATAGTTATCAGGAAAATATTGCCTTAGTCAGAAGACGGACCTCCGGAACACAGAATGCTACTTTGCGTATTCAATAACTAGATCAATTTCAATGCAAACAGTATTAAAAGACGAACGGTAGGCCGAAGATCTGTTGATCAAAAAAGTGCAGGCCAATATAGCAAGTTAACCACACAGCAGCTTGCCATGTGATTCATTATTATATTATTATTATTGTATCCTTTAATTCCTACAGGAACATAGGGCTTCAGCCAACCATCTCCATTGCGTTCTGTTCTCTGCTGGAGTCTTCACCTGGCTCCAAGTCTGCCCACACGTTTTCATCTCCTCTTCACATGACCTCCTCCAAGTCACCCTTGAACTGAAGACCAACTCGCCACTTCCCTTTCGGGTTCCACTCAAGGGCTTGTCTAGTGATGTCACTTGATGGTTTCCTCAGAGTATGGCCAATCCATCTCCATTTCTTCCTGCCTATTTGTTTCACAATCTGTTCCTGGTTGGTTCGCTCATTGCCAGAGATCCCTGTTGCTGATCTCTTCTGGCCATCTGATCTCGAGTAGTATTGAGCGAAGACAACTGTTAATAAAGGTCTGTAGTTTGTTTGAGATGCTCTTTATGACGCGCCAAGTCTCTGGTCTGTATAGTGAGTAGCACTGACTTCACATTGGAGTTAAAAATCCGAATCTTATTTTCATTTTATGCTGAGTGCTTTTGAACTCCACACAGACTTGAGAGTAGTGAAAACTTGTCTTGCTTTTCCGATCCTTCCTTTGATATCCTCGTCAGTTCCGTTCGGCTGTAGTTGAAACGATGCTTCCAAGGTAGGTAAAAGAGGTTGTTTCTTTCAGGTTCCTCCCATTTATGCTGATTGTTGTCTGTTGTTGTTGTTGCTGTTAGTGGTGTTGCCCCGGAATTTGCATCACCTCTGTTTTATCTATGTTCACCTGAAGTCCCATCTTTGATGCTTCTTCTGCTAACTTGTTGCTTTTCGCTTGCATGTCTTCCAGTATGTGGGAAATCAGACATATATCATGGGCGAAGTGTAGATCCATAAGTTTTTTGTGTGAGTCTATTTTATGCCTGTTTCCTCATTGCCCACTGTTTGTTTCATTATCCAGTCTACTGCAGTCAGGAAAATCATTGGCAATAGTAGGCAGCCTTGTCTTACTCCTGTCCTCACTTCGAAGGGTTCCGTAAGTTTCCCATTGTGGATTACTTGGCATGCAGCATTGTCGTATAGCTGTTGGATGAGATGTAGAATTGTCGGTGGCATCCCGTAGTAGCGAATTGGTTGCCAAAGCACTTCTCTATCGACGCTGTCGAATGCCTTTTCAAAGTCGATGAAGTTGAGATAGAGAGGTGACTGCCATTCCAAGCTTTGTTCAATGATGATCCGTAGTGTGGCGATTTGATCAATACCTGACTTGTTTCTTCTGAATCCAGCCTGTTCCGGTCGAAGTTTTTCATCCAGGGCATGTTTGATTCTCTCCAGGATGATGCGGCTTAGTATTTTGCTTGGGATGGACAGGAGCATAATTCCGCGCCAGTTCTTGCATTGACTTAAGTCTCCTTTCTTTGGTAGTTTGAATAAGTATCCTTTCTTCCAATCCTCGGGTACTTTGCCTTCTTTCCACACCTTCTCCAGTAGTGGCGTCATCAAGTCCGCTGTTGTCTCTGGGTCCGTTTTCAATGCTTCTGCTGGGATTCCGTCTGGTCCTGCTGCTTTTCCAGCTTTTAGCATCTTGATTGCCTTCAGGACTTCTGATTTATATTTATTCCTGTTTATGCAGGAACATACCAATTGTACAGGCATGGATAAGTTATTATATAAATTACAGTTTGTTTGTTCAATCTAACATTAGAGTCAGTCAGAACAGTCTGCAAAATAGTCTGTCTGTGTAACTCATAAAGAGATATAGAAATATTGTCTTCGCATTAACAAAAAACCCAGACTTCAGATGAATGTGATACAAATATCTGGGAAAAATAAAGCTTGAAGTCAATTCTCCTATAAGACTTTGTTGTGAACAGCATCCGTGAGATAAAGTTAGAAAATTAGATAAGGTAATGTTAGATTGTTTTACTGCATCAAATGAGGTCAATTCTAGAACTATCCATTTGCGCCATTTGCGTCAGCATGGCAGACTGTACATGTAAGTTGAGTAATACATTGATAACTGTTTGAAAACCAGTTGCTTCTTTATTTCAGATCAAGAATACTCCTTGTACAGAATGTTAGCCAGCGTTTTCAAGTGGTTGCATCGGATCGTTCATGGAATTTGAGTTTGAATTTACATAAATGGTCATTTCAGTTTGGATGTTGGGTTATTCGACCTCAACCAGGAGGTATATAGAAGATTAAGCTCAGCAGGGAGATAAAGTCAGGTTAGGAGTGCACACCTTCTCCAGTAGTGGCGTGATCAAGTCCGCTGTTGTCTCTGGGTCCATTTTTAATGCTTCTGCTGGGATTCCATCTGGTCCTGCTGCTTTTCCAGCTTTTAGCATTTTGATTGCCTTCAGGACTTCTGATTTCGTCGGGGGGTTGCTGTTCACTGGTAGCTCTGTCTCCGTTGTTGGTATTGCTGGGCGCGATGTAGGTGGTGGTCGATTTAGGAGTCTTTTGAAGTGTTCAGCCTAGTGCTTCCTTTGCTCCACTTCTTTGTTGAGTGACTTTCCATTGTCATCCTTCACCGGCTTGATTTGTGTCAAACGTTTGCCTGATAGGTACCTAGTAGTTTGGTAGAGTGTTGCGAGGTCTCCTTTGCCTGCAGCTTATTCTGCCTCACTTGCCATGGTTTCATAGTACTTTCTTTTGTCTTCCCAGGCACTCTTCTTTACTCTTTTGTTCAGTGTCTTGTAGTTTGCGTTCAAATCCTGTTTTTGTTGCTCATCGGTGCACTGGATAATCTTTTGTTTCACCATCCCTCTCTCTTCTATC